GGATTTATAAAAACTATTTTTGGATTTATAAAAACTATTTTTGTAATTATAAAAACTATTTTTGTGGATTTATTAAAACTATTTAGTTAATTATTAAAACTTTTCTAGATTTATAAAAGATTTTGATATTTAGTTTTACAATTTTTAGATATATTAAACTATTTTTAAATTTTTGCAGGTCGGGTAGCGATAGCCAGGCAAGATCTCGCCGCCACACACCACGAGGTCGAGGTGTTTCTCGGGGTGGTTCTCGTGGTGGTTCGACGGGCACCTCTCGTGGTTCTGCATCTTCGCAGAACCAATATGTCGGGGATTTTCCAGCTCCAGCTCCAGCTCCTCCGGTCATTCCGGGTACCATGACTGTTGAACAATTGGTTCAACAGCCTGGTCGAGAGCATCTTCTCACTCTCACTCCGCATCCATCGGGCCCACACCAAACATGGTAATATTTTTTTGTAAATTTTTTGTGTTTTTTTCATTATATGTTGCTTGATTCTTAATTTTTTTCTTTTCAGGTTTGATCGATCGCAGAACGGGATAAGTTCCTTCATCAACCAGATGATGTACTCGGCGCTCAAAAAGGGTTATCCTACCTACACCTCCTTCCCCCGAGAGGATCAAGAGATGTGGTTCCGTCAGTTTGCGGTATGTATTTTACAATTTTTAAAGTTTTTTTTTTTAATCTTTGACTTAAATTTTTACTAATTGTGTTTTTTTTTTCAGCAAGAGTTCAACTGGAATCCCCTCCATACGGCCTTTATCGAAAATGCCTTCACCCATAAAGTCATGGAGAATTATGGGAAGCAGGTTTATGAGTGGAAGCAAAAGTGGAAGAAGGGCAAAAAACCGAAATTGATCAACGACACGGTGTGGCTCGAGTTGCAAGAGCATTGGGGGAAGACAGATACGCAAGGAACCTCTGACACCAATTCCAGCAACCGCAACAGCGACCGTGGCGGGAAGGGTCGGTACAAGAACAACTTGGGTGCTTGCAGTATGTCAACTCTTGGGGATAAGCTAGTAAGTCGACTGATTTTCTTTACCTATTTCGTTTTTTAAATTTTAATTTAAATTTTCAAATTTTAATTTAAATTTTTAAATTTTAATTTCAATTTTTACTGCTTTTTATTAACAAATGTTTTTTTTTCAGGCGGAACAGAATGACGGTGAGCCGGTTGACTCCCTCGTGTTAATGAGGGAGGCGTATACCGACAAGTCGACCGGAGAGATTTCGGATGCCGTTGTGAGGGAGGTGATCGACTTGGTCGAAACCCAGAAGGAGGAAGAGATCCAACGCCTCTCTCAGCTTCAATCTGACGACGACGGCACTACTGGAGCTTCCCCCAGCCTTTCTCGAGTTCGAATCAACGAACTTGTTGAGTCGGTAAGATCTTTATTTTAATTAATGTTTTTTTTTAATTTAATGTTTTCTCACTGTTTTAATTTAATGTTTTTTAGGCGGTTCCTAAGAAGAAAGGCCGTTTGTTCGGGTTGGCTCGTCGCTCCAAGTCNATTTAATGTTTTCTCACTGTTTTAATTTAATGTTTTTTAGGCGGTTCCTAAGAAGAAAGGCCGTTTGTTCGGGTTGGCTCGTCGCTCCAAGTCTGTTCCTTCTACTTCAGAACCGGCTTTTGTTGATCCGGCAATTATGGAGCAGCTACAAAACAAGGATGACCGCATCGTAGCATTGGAGAACCAGAATGCCACAATTATTACCCAGAACGAGACCATACTTGCTAGGATGGCAGATCAGCAACAAGAAGTGGAGGAAACGAAGAAGAAGAACCAGGAGTTGCTGGATATGATGCGACGTCTGTTCCCGCATGAGTTTTAGTCGGTTTTTATTTGTTTTTTAAAACTTTGTATTTCTACTTTTAAAACTTAAAATATTATAAGATGTTTTTTATTTCAATTTTAGTTTTATATTTTCTAATATTTATTATATAAATATTTATTAAAAATAATTAATTATTATTTATTTTATTTTTTTTTTAAAAATAGGAATTTCCGAGGAAGATCATCCCTCGGAATATTCCGACGAACGTTTCCTCAGAATATTCCGACGAACGTTTCCTCGGAATATTCCGATGCCCTTCGCCGTCGGAATATCCCGAGGAACCATCCGTCGGAATATTCCGACGAACATTCCGTCGGAAATATTCCGACGATTATGTCCGACGAAGTATCCGTAGGGATTGTCCGACGGAACGTCTTCCCTCGGAATTTCGTCGGAATGTTGGTCCATCGGAAGTCGTCGGAATTTCGTCGGTGTGTCTGACGAAATTCCGAGGAAATATTTTTTTTCCGACGAAATAATTCCGACGACCAATTTCCTCGGAATGTCGTCGGAATACGTCTATTCCGACGATATTCCGAGGAAATTGGCCCTCGGAATAACGCTGTTTTCTTGTAGTGTAGAACGAAACCCTAAGAGTACTATTCACATTTGCGAGTAGGTCTGGGCAAAAAAAACAAAACGGGAAAATCGAACAAAAATCAAACCAAAATATCTGAAATCGAAACCAAACCAGAATTTTTAAATATCCAAATGGTTCATATATTTATGTTTTTGAAATACCGAACCGAAATTTAAACCGAACTGAGAACCGAATAGGTATCTGAGTATCCGAAAAAACAAATTTAAGCTTTAAAATATAATGTAAAATGACATCAAATCTAGGTTGGACAGGAAGAGTGGGAGTATTGTTACCACCAAACCACATTATTTTTATCTAGTATTTTATATTATACTTATATATGGTCTTTCTATATTAAAATACCTTAAATATTTATTAAATTAACATTTTATTGATTCGAACTCTTATAGGATTGACGAATATGTAAGTGTGTAAACAGTGGACAATTTAAATTAACATATTAACTAATATATATATATATATATATATATATATATATATATATATATACAATGAAACCTCTATAAATTAATAATGTTGAGACTACACCTAAACTATAGTTCTTATTAATTTATAGAGATTATTAATTTACTGATATACTAATTGAACTAAAAACTCAATTTGGTAATATAGAATTATATGATTTTATAGAGATTTTTAGTGTACACTAATTGAGTATTAATTTAAAGAGGTTATAATGTATATTGATTCGCATATTAAACATGTATTCAGAACTAAACCGAAATCTCATAACTATTTATTGAGTATAGGAATGATTTATTTGATATACCTGAATCGAATAATTCTTATCCAAAACCGTACTGAAGATCCAGCTTATTTGTGTGAAACAAATTAAACCCAAGATACTGTATAATTAATCAAATATTGATATAGAATCAATATATGTATACTTTTCAATAGAATTTTATATATGGTCATTTAACCTGATTATTGGCACTATGTAATTTTTTTAATGAAATGTCACTATATATATTAGATAAGGAACCGTGCGATATCGCACGAAAACTTATTTATAAAATTAAATTAAAAAAAAAATATATATATATATATATATATATTTATTTATTTATTTATTTGAGAAAGGGCTTATGTCACTATAAAGTTTGCTGTTCATTTGTACGGAAAATATTACAATCAATAGTCGAGAGGGAGAAAAAAGGATCTTCCAAAATAGCGATAGAGAAAAAAAGTAGGGCTGGGCAATCGGGGTCCCAATCGGGTTTCGGTTCGGGTTCATTCGGGTTTCGGGTTTTCGGGTTCATGAATTTCAGCCCCATTCGGATATTATAAAAATTCGGGTCGGATTCGGTTCGGGTTTAGTCGGATTCGGTTCGGATTTAGTAACATGTCCAAGATCCGGTTGAACCCGAAATAGTTTCGGTTTCGGATACTAATCGGGTTATCGGTTCTAAAAATACTAATTTATACTCAATTAAACTCACTATATTTTCAATCATTTTATTAAATTTATGTATTTAGCTTCTACAAACCATATTGTTCTCCTTGAAAATAATATTGTGAAACTCATCTATCAACCATATAAGATTTGTCAATGAACTATATGTGACAACACTAAACATATCATGATTAATGACAAACCAAAGCCTTGTATTAACGAAATATAATACATAATGAAACATAAAAAATTAAAGTTAACAACTAACAATTCTATAAACATAAGAAGTGCTATTTAAACTTTTAAAAACAACATTATATAAACTTCAAAACAAATTTATTCGTAACTTAACTTCAAATCTAATGTCAATCATAAACATTAATATTAACCAAATAACACTATATATTAGACTAAATATTTGAGTTAGTTATTTATATCATAACTAATTATTGTAGGTACTCAATAATATATTAATCTGTTTTGGAAACATATTAGAAATTTAGACTGGATATGATACAAGTTTTTTTTGGAATTTTAAAGTTTCGGGTTCTTTCGGATATCCATTTAAGTTCGGGTTCGGTTCGGGTAATACCCATAACCCGAAATACCGTAAAACAAGATCCATTCGGTACTTATGTCGGGTTCGGATCGGTTCGGGTTCATTTTTATCGGGTCGGAGTCGGTTAGGATTTTCGGGTTCGGTTTTTTTTGCCCAGCCCTAAAAAAAAGGATCTCTCAATATGTCACTATATAGTTTGCTGTACATTTGCTGTTAATTTTTAATTGGTTTGCTATTTATTACACTCAATCTTCCTTTTTCAAAGGATCGAAACAAACATCCCACTCTAAAAGCGTGCTTAGTAACAGAAGCATTTTTGTAAGAATCTTCCTTCTATATTAATCCTTAAAACGCTCTCACTTTCCTTACGTGAACCCTATGTCTCTTTATTTGAACAAAAGACTTACATGTTTTCGTTTTGTCGTCTAACTCTAGAACTCCAAGAGCCAACAAAACCAAATAATTCATTCTACTTTCTCTCCTTGTCGATTCAGTTTTATCAAATCAGAATTTCTTAATTAGTAGAAGAGTATTTTATTTTATTTTATTTTGTTTCGATCGACTATTTACGCGTGACAGAGGATTTATGCATCGATCAATATTGGGAATGGATGATCAAGAGGTTATGGATATTGAAGCTCAGATCGAGAATGTCAACGATGATCCAACCCTTCCTTTTTCAATTTTTAAAAAGGCTAATCTTCCTATCATTTTAAAGGTATATAAATTTATTTACATACATAATATATGAGTAGATACATATGCTGCCGTTACTCTTCAGTTTTCTTTTGAGGTCAGGTTTTTACTTATGATAAATGGAGAACACACATGTGGTTCATTAGGTTAAGAAGTATTGATTCGTGTATCCACCACATGTAGTCGTTATAGGAATATTATTATTTAATTATTACAGCAAGATTTTATGTGTATTTAGTATCACAGATTCACAGATCTACTGATTCAGTCTTATTCTTGATGTTTTGGAGCAGTTTGAGAATGTTGTGTACACGGTGAAGGTGAAGGAACAAAAGAACTGGCTAGGTCAAACCAAAGGCAAAACCGAAGATAAGACCATCTTGAAAGGTGTAAATGGGATCGTCAAACCAGGAGAGATCCTGGCTATGCTTGGTCCCTCGGGAAGTGGCAAGACCAGTTTGTTGACGGCTCTAGGAGGGCGTGTTAGTGAAGGGAAAGGGAAGCTCACAGGGAACATAGCATACAACAACAAACCATTCTCCAAAGGTGTGAAGCGAGCCACAGGTTTCGTGACTCAAGACGATGCGCTTTACCCTCACTTAACCGTTACCGAAACCCTAGTCTTCACTGCGCTTCTCCGGCTTCCGAACTCTTTCAAAAAACAAGATAAGATCAAACAAGCTGAGGCGGTCGTGACTGAGTTGGGTCTAGATAGATGTAAGAACACTATCATTGGAGGACTTTTCTTGAGAGGTGTTTCGGGTGGTGAGAGGAAAAGGGTTAGCATAGGGCAAGAGATTCTTATAAACCCTAGTTTACTATTTCTTGATGAGCCTACTTCTGGTCTTGATTCGACCACGGCTCAAAGGATCGTGTCCATTTTGTGGGAACTGGCTCGTGGTGGAAGAACGGTCGTGACAACTATTCATCAACCTTCTAGTAGGTTATTTTATATGTTTGATAAGATCCTTCTCTTATCAGAAGGTAATCCTATCTACTTCGGGCTTGGATCCAACGCTATGGATTATTTTTCTAGCGTTGGGTACTCACCATCCGTTGAAAGGGTCAATCCGTCAGATTTTCTCTTGGATATAGCAAATGGTAAGCCTCTAGTTGTGATTTCTTGCCGCACAAGTAAGCATAGCTTTTTTTCTCTCTTTGTTCAATCTCATATCAAAACATGGAGATATTATATCTATAGGAATTGGATCAGATGAATCTCAGAGACCAGAGGCTTTGAAGACAGCTCTGGTTGCGGTTTACAAGTCTAATTTGTTGGACAATGTTATCAATGATATGAAAGGGCAAGACGATCATTATAACCAATCAATAGAGAGTCCTGGAGATTCTAAGCATTTTGGAGACTGGCCAACAACATGGTGGCAGCAGTTTTGTGTTCTCTTGAAGAGAGGCCTTAAGCAAAGGCGACACGATTCTTTCTCTGGCCTAAAGATTGGTCAGATTTTTGTCGTGTCTTTACTATGTGGTCTCCTTTGGTGGAAAACTGACCTTGCTCACTTACAAGATCAGGTATTTAGCTCTAACTCGATACAATTTTTTTGGGTCTATTTCTCAAAGTGTAGATACATATAGGGGATGTGAATACTTTGTGTAGATATAACAAATGATAGGTTCTAATAGCTGGTATCTCTGGTGTTTGTTTTTTGGGCTATAGAAGTACTCGGCTAACGTAGCATATTTAACCATTTTATTTGGTAATATTTTGTATTTCAATTTTATCAAGATAAAATATATAGGTGATGTGAATACTTGTGTTTTCTTGTTGCAGCTAGGGCTATTGTTCTTTATGACATCCTTTTGGGGATTCTTCCCTCTTTTCCAACAAATCTTCACGTTTCCACAAGAGAGAAAAATGCTTGAGAAAGAACGCTCCTCGGGCATGTACAGGCTCTCGTCTTACTTCATGTCCCGAGTTGTCGGAGATCTTCCAATGGAGCTTATTCTGCCAACCATTTTTCTCATTATCACATATTGGATGGCTGGTTTAAGCCCAAAACCTGCTAACTTCTTTCTAACCCTTCTGATCCTCCTTGTCCACGTCCTTGTCTCTGGTGGGCTAGGACTAGCCTTAGGTGCCCTAGTGATGGATCAGAAGACAGCCACGACGCTCGGGTCAGTTATCATGCTGGCATTTTTGTTAGCAGGAGGATTCTACGTTCGACATGTCCCGGTGTTCATCTCTTGGATTAAATATATATCAATAGGTTACTATACCTATAAACTAGTGATATTGGGTCAGTATACGGAGAGTGAATGGTATCCTTGTGGTGAAGATGGGGAAATGAAGTGTTATGTTGGTGACTTTGAAGGTATTAGGCACATAGGGTTTCATGGTGGACTAGTCTCTGCCTTTGCCTTGGCTTTGATGCTTGTTGGTTATAGAGTAGTTGCTTACATTGCTTTGATGAGGATTGGTAAGACCAAGTCTGGCTAATATATAATTTAGCTATCTCCACGCTTTTTGTTTTGAGTTTTAGCACTTTTTGAGTAAGAACGAATGTATAACACCAATAAGTTCTTACTGCATTGTTGTTTTTTTTTTGTTAGAATCTTTTGTAGTGATGTGTGATGACTTATGTTTTGAATTGTTTGTCTATTTTAATGTTATATTTTGTTTATAATGGATCGATAAGTTTGGTCGTCCGGCTAAAGTGGTCCTATGATAAGTCGTATCTCAATAAAAGGTAATAATGTGAAGAACATGTTCTGTATGTGTTCAGAGGAAAAGTTCAAAGCCAATTTAATGTTTGCTTATTGGTTGTGTTCCAAGTTCAACACATGTTACACGTTGAAATTATTCGTACATGAAAGATATTTGACCTCACGCGGTTTTTTAATTCGAACAGCTAGCTGATGAATTTGTGGTGCATAGTAAACGTACTATCGACTTCAAATAGTAGCATAATAGCATTAACGCAAAGTTTGAGATACTTCAATCAGCAAGTGGTGTTAGCGGAATAATCTTTAACTAGGATAAGATCCGCGTCTTGCACGGGATAAAGCTATTATTTTTATTATGTTTTAAAAAATGAAACAATAGTTTTCATTCGGATTAGAGGTGTTCAATCTGGATATCAGGTTTCGGTTCGGCTTAATTTGGTATTTCGATTATTAAAATATAACTATTCTAAATTTATATGTACTTCAGTTTGATTTAGTTTATATACCATCGGTTTTCAGTTTATTCAATTTTATACAAAAAAAACATGATTATTTAGTTCGAGATCATATTATATATTATACAAATATATAATATGATCATATTTAGAGTCATATTGTCGCATAGTCATTTATTAAAAAAATATTATATATTTAAATAAAAGAATAAAAAACAAAAAAAGGCTTATATCATCTAATAAAATGATCAAATCTAGAATTAATATCAAAACACTAAATTTTGAAAATAAAAAACAAAACAGAAGCATGAAAGAAAAGTTTTTATATTCTTCCATATTTAGTGTTCATCAAACCAATATGTCTTCGATTGAACACAACTCTGTTTGTTTAAATATAAAAGAAAAAGTTGTAAAGAATTTCAACTAATTGTTTTCCATCAAATTTATAATCTTTACTTCAATTTAGTTACTCTTAAAAAAGCAAAAAATCAAAATAAGAAGTGTAAGTTGTAATAAATTGTTAGTTATTTACAAATTATAATTATAGTTCAACTCATGTAACAAATAGATATTCATGCGTCGTTATAAATATATACATATTTACATGTTTCAGTTTAATCGGTTATAAATCAATCCATATCCAAATCCTATGGTTTTTATAAAATCACATCCATTCGGTTTGTATGGTATATACCAAGAATAACCATATTATCGATTGTTAATATCTTTTAAAAATATAAAATTAAAAAAAGAACTAAGATATTTAAATCTTTGATAACAAAAAAATTCAATGTGAAAAATTTAATAATTTTATAATTTATAAATGTTCTTGAAAATTTATTGAGGATTTTGAAATTAAAATATTTATGTAATCTTATATGGTATATAGTTTAATCTGTATATTTATTTGTTTTATTATTGAATGATACTTTTTACTTATATGGTTTTAAAATCATGTATATCTTTTTATAATAAAAATGTTAAACTATTGATCATTAATTTTTAACATAATAATTTTAATAGTTTAGTTATTTGTTCTCGTTTTTAAAAATTCAAAATATAACCTATACGAAAAAAATCTAAAGTTTAATTTTATAGTTAATTTGATTGTTTAATTTATTTTAATAATATAAAACTAAAGAAAAATGATGGAGGATATATAAACTGTTATCAAATATTTATTATTAGAATCATTAAGTGTTATATATATATATATATATATATATATATATATATTAGTCATTTATGGTAATTCCGTAGGTTTTATTTATGGAAAGAAAATAAAATAGTAATTATATCTAGGGGAACAATCATAAATTCTTCTATCATAAATATCATATCATATAATTTGACCAACGAATGTATCTAGCGACATATAAAAATCGAATGTGGACCTATTTATTTTTCAATTGAATGTAATTGACTACCTAATTGAGTGACACCTAAGCATGAAGTCTTTTTTAATTATTACAAAATTGAGGTTAAAAAATTTTTTAAATGTTTCTCCTTTAATATATAAGGGATTTAATTTAGGGGTGTGACTGGTACTACTTCGAGTAAAATGGTGAAAAGATAAAAGTAAAAAAAAAAGGAGATAAGAGAAAAACAAAACTCAGAACATCTCCAAAAAGGAACTCTATTTTGGAGTTTCACAAATTCTATATTTGAAGTTTCAAAGTGATCTTCTCCAAAAGAAAAACTTCAAAACTAACTTCAAAATTATTTGTATATTACATTATAGTTTTTATATTTTTCACAATTAATGAAAATTCATAAAAGTTTTATAAATTACTAACACATATATAAAAATATTACATCAATATTAATTAATAAAATTTTACATTAAATATAAAATTAGAAATAGTAATACATAATTAAATATTAAACTACAAGAAACATACCACATTATTCCATAAGATGATTGAAATACGAATGAAAAAATGAAACAAAAATAGTTAGCTTTAAAAGAAGTAAAAGAGAAAAAAAATAGTGCTAATAGGTGATATTAATACTCATGAGTACATTCGTTCTGAAAAATAAAGAATCATACGAAAAGATGTCAAGAATAACCATCTTTTATTACGAAAAACTTGTTTGGATTTGAATATTTGGAGCTTCCAAGACATATTTACCAGATGATTAGTGTTGTTGTAATATTTAAATTTCTATAATAATTACGTTTTCATATACCTTTTTAAAAGATAATTTTAATTAAGTTTGTTTTGTAATATTCTTGTTGTCTAATTCTAATTTTAAAATAATATACATTGTATTTAAAATTTTTTATTTAATTTTATGTGTAAAGCTTAATTTATAGAAATAAATTTAAGATTTGTAAGATATAATTTTTAAAAATTAAAATGATAAATAAGAAAATAATTAAGAATCCTAAATAAGATATGTAAATATAAAGACCAAATTGTAAATAAAAAGATGAAACTTCAAATTTGAAGTTTTGAAGTTTATTTTTGGAGAGCAAAAAACATTATATTTCAAGAGTAATAAATTTTCGCTGCTTAATGGTAGAGTAATAATTTACTCTACTTTCATTTTCTTTTGGCGTTAATGGACTGAAAACAATTTCCACATGATTGGATAAAATATGGAGTAACTCAACTGAAATATAATTTACTCTACTTTGATATCGCCAAAAGTTCCTTCCAGTCACATAGATGCCATACACTTTCTGCAATTTGTAACATAGGGGTTGATTAAAAAAGCTGTAGTTTTATGTTTTTAATGTAGAAATTAATCTGTAGATCTATTGTTGTAGTTTCTTTTATTGTAATTTTCTAAAACACTAATTTTTTATTCTAGAAATAAAATTTTCTACAGTCATTTTTTTTTTATTTTTCTACAGATATTTTTCTGTAGGTTTAAAAAAAAAACTTGATGGGGTTGATTTATATGGTTCTAAGTTATATTTTGACTTTCTAAAACATCTACAGCAACAATCAATTATTTCCATAGTAGTGTTTTGTGTTATAAAAGGAAAAGGTAAGGGTGACGTCTTTAAAATGTGCACAAAAAAAAAAGAAGGTGACGTCTTTATAGAATAGTCTACTAATGAAAATTTAGTTAAGGTCTTAAGTTTATTTAGCAGCTATCTGAAGTATGTTAATTGTTAATTAAGACTTGTTGGAAGCTTGTGTTGAAGTTAAACGATCTAAATATATAGTCACTTAAACAAAAATTATCGATCTCTCAACTAGGGATGGGCACAAGCCGAGTACTCGGTATTTTGTGTATACTTAGTACTCGGCTTGCCTTGTACGAGAAGTAATTTTTTTGACTTGTACTTGGTTTGTTAAAAACTAATACTTGCAGTTTCAAGTACTTGCAAAAAATTATCAGACTTGCATGCTACTTGTTTTTTATTACTTGTTACTTGTAAATTACTTATAATTTAACTGATAATTATTGGTAATAAAATGTAACACATAAATTTAATTAATTAATAAAATGGATATCAACTATTTAGTAAACTAAGTAATATATAACAAATATTGGGATAAGTAAAGGATATCAAGTAACAAACCAAGTAACAAGCCAAGTAGTTAAAAATAAAAATGAACTTGATACTTGACTTATACTTGCGAGTAATAAAATTCGCTTACTTGTTACTCGACTTGTTTATAGCAAGTACTTGTTTTTTTAAACCAAACCGAGTCAAGTAGCGAGTACAAGCCGAGTATCAAACATTTGTGCCCAGCCCTACTCTCAACTGCTACATTAATTTTAAATGAGCCTAAAATTTAGAGCATGCCCATTAGCAGTTCTTAAATATGGGTCCTTAATAATAAGGGATTAAAAATAAATAAATAAAACTTAATTAAGGAAAGAACCACTCTTTAATAGGAGAGTTTAGAGAATGATAAGAAACGATTATGTGGTTGGCTCTCATTGGACTGCTTTTTTTGTCTCTCTTCTTCATCGTGGTTTCGTCGAAACCAAAATATGTTTTCTCTCCCAAACACTCGAACTCTCTCTCACTTGATCTTCTCTGTCGACGAGTCCAACTTCTCTCTTACATCATTGTCTTTGTCGATGAGTCTGTCGTGTGTCTCACACTATCATCACTCTCGATCGCCCTTCTTTGTCCCTCCGTTCCGTCCATCTATCTTCTCTGTCAATCGCTGATTGGCTTCGCCTCTGTTTCTTCCCCAAAGCTTCTCTTCCGCCAGCTCTTCGAGAAAGAGTCCTCTCCTTTTATATATCTTCAATCAATCTATTCAAAAAAAAATTAAGAACCTTGATAAAGTTTTACCATTGGACAAGAAAAAAATAAATTAAATAAATAAAAGTTCTTAACCGATCAAATCACAGTACTTATTACTAATTTATTGATTAGTAACCATAAAGAGTTCTTATTGATGGAGGTGGTCTCAACAATAGATCACATACAGACTCTGCATATCAATACGAGAGTTAGTGCACATCTATCATACGAGATGCACTAATAAAGTATATATCATGCCCTTTTTTCTTTTTGATGAAACCTTCGTGATCACCTCACCTTATCTCCTTTTAAGCTTTAATAAATGTGGAGTTCACAGAGAGAGGCATATTTTAGGTAGGAATTTTCTTCGTCTCTCTTTGCCATTTCTATTTGAAATGTATTCACTTACCCAAAAAACATACTTTAGAGACATGCACTATATGTACAACTCACCTTTTTCTTTTTGAAAACATAATTTAACTTTAATACTTGAATTATTTATTTAAAATAAACTATAAATGATGTTTATTCTTGGATAATCTTAATAAATTAGTTCAAGAGCATAACAAATTAAGTTACGGTTTGACTATTTTACCTCATTGCCTCCAAAGCCACATCGTTACATATTAAACATATATGACTTTTTGTCGAGATCATATAAGAATAATATGCGCTAATTGAATAGCGATTGCGGAGTTTCTTATCAAGAAATTTTGCAGTTATGCAAATCGTTGAACCAAACTTGTCGTATCTTTGCTAATAGTCAAAATTATTTTCTTATAAAAGAAATGGGTGAGCATGCCCTCTCTATGTGAACAAGAATTCTCCACGTTCACTAAAATCTAAAATCCAAAAGCAATCGAAAACGAAATAAATGAATAATAATCTAAAAAGATAAAAGAATCATCAAGAAGAAGAAGAATCGAGTTCTTTGAATGTCACATGTATTATATAAAGGCTTTGTGACCTGTCCAGCATGGTCCATTGTTTTCACTTGTCAACTTCTTAAGCCATTTATAGTATTTCTTGAGTGAAAGAAACCCTAATTACTATTTTATTTAATCATAAAATAGAACACATAGTTATTTTACGAGACAATTATTGAAATACAATCTTAACAACATTATCAGAACATTTTGTTTTGTGAAGATTGTAACAAAAATAATTGATAAAGAATATTCTTCTTACGATATATAAGAATCAAATGTAGGGAAAAAAAATCAGACTCAATTTAATAGTACAAATGCCTATGTTTTTTTTAACTAAATTATTGACGTCTACATTAGTTAGACAATCTCAGCAGTATAATTTTTTTTTTTTTTTTTGGATAATCCAGAGGTTCCCCACTTACGTGGATCATTCCTCTGGGCGGTCCACTTTCACCCGAGAGGGTTTTAAACTTGGGCTGAGGACAAGGCCCAACACCCAGTACCGTATTGTTATGATATGGATGGGTAGTTCGCCTCCATGTGGCGTCGAACCCGAGAGCATGACTATTGGCCTCTAAGGTTTTTACCACCAAGCTACACCATCCCGTCAATAGCAGTATAATTATAAAAACGATATTTTATATTTCTCCGATATTAATTACTTTTTTATATATCAATAATTTTACTATGTACGTGTCTCAAACTAACGTATCCTTTCTATTTTATTAGTTAGAAGTTTGTAGTATGTACACTTGTTCAATATTTTCTGTTATGGAGTATTATTTTTTTCTTACATTTTTTGTCTCTTTTGACTATTTCATTCAAAGCCTTGCCTAACTCTCCCAACACGTATGCATTTCACACGAGTGGGACATTGCCTTCCACGCATATCTTTGCTCAATAGATTTATCTGTCGAATAGTTAGTGCTTCTTTTCCTTTTCTTTTTTCTGACTCCAAAGTTAGTGCTTCATGAAAATGAAAAGATAAATCGTACCGGGCTTCATTATTTGGACAACTCTGATAGATACACATCGTTGTTAGTCTTTTCAGAATTCTAGAAGAAAGGACATATGTCTCGACACGTGTCGACTTTTCCTGACGGTTCATGAACCCGAACGACACCAAAAATTGTCGAATAATTGAAACTGAAAGCTTCGGTGAAATTAAGCTAAAGATATTTTCAGTAATTGCTTAGAAAGTTTCCGAGTCACGAAAGAAATAAGAGAAATTAAAAAAAATAAAAAAATTACTGCGATCATGTTTAATAGTTACTGAATGCAGTGACTTGGATTTTACACATGTGAAAACTTTCGTTTATGTGTTACGCACATTTATATCGCTCCAAGAAATAGTGTACAACTCACTGATAAGGTCGGCTGGTTCATATACGTGGCAGAATGGCAATGGTTTAAAAGGGTCCCACAAAGAAAATCGTATTAAGATTTTTGAACAGTAAGAAAAGGACGACCGTACTTATCTTGAAGAACCATTGTCTTTTCGACAAGCCTATATAAAGCAGCTAATCACCAGCTTGTCAAAAAGATCGAACGAACATAAACATATAACTTTCTTGGTTTTGTTTAGAGTTCTATAAACTTTTAGATTGTATTGTCAGCTGAAGAATCAAAAATAGGAGAAATGGGTGTTAGAGAGAAGGATCCGTTAGCCCAATTGAGTTTGCCTCCAGGTTTTAGATTTTACCCGACAGATGAAGAGCTTCTTGTTCAGTATCTCTGTCGGAAAGTTGCAGGCTACCATTTCTCTCTCCAGGTCATCGGAGACATCGATCTCTACAAGTTCGATCCTTGGGATTTGCCAAGTAAGCATCACCTCTTTTTTAACAAGTCTATGGTGTTATTTGTTATAATCTCAAGTTTGTGGTTTCATTTGAGAAAATGTTAGAATTGAGGGGTTAGTATTGCAAACTTTCTTATCTTCTTGGTGTTGTGTTGTGTGGACAGGTAAGGCCTTGTTTGGGGAGAAGGAATGGTATTTCTTTAGCCCAAGAGACCGGAAATATCCGAACGGGTCAAGACCCAATAGAGTAGCCGGATCGGGTTACTGGAAAGCCACCGGTACCGACAAGATCATTACGTCTGATGGCCACCGTGTCGGAATTAAAAAAGCTTTGGTTTTTTACGCCGGAAAAGCTCCAAAAGGCACGAAAACTAACTGGATCATGCACGAGTATCGCCTCGTCGAGCATTCTCGTAGCCATGGAAGCTCCAAGGTTAATCATGATCCAAAAGCTTCAAACTTTATTCAAGATTTTATCAAAAATTCTGATGGCGTGTATTTATTTAGTATAATACTATTTAATTTCGTGAATTGATTTTTAATAATATTTTTGTTAACTTTTTGATTTTAACTAAAACACGGAAAAGTACAAAGTACCTAATTTGGAATTTTTATATTTTAATAAGATAAATTTTCACCATAAATAGAATAATTATTAAAATAGATTTTCATTAAAAAAAAAAACTTTATTCAAGATTCAGACAATAATCGCTAAAGTTCGTTGTTTTGTTTTGTTTTGTTTTTTTTGGTTCAGTTAGATGATTGGGTGTTATGTCGAATCTACAAGAAGACTTCCGGGTCTCAGAGACAACAAGCGGTTGCTCCGGTTCAACCTTGCCGTGAAGAACACAGCACTAACGGGTCGTCGTCATCTTCTTCGTCTCAGCTCGAAGACGTTCTTGACTCGTTCCCGGAGATGAAAGATCGTTCTTTTAATCTTCCTCGCGTGAACTCTCTAAGGACGCTTCTCAACGGGAATTTCGATTGGGCTAGCTTAGCGGGTCTTAATCCCATCCCGGAGTTAGCTCCGACGACCAACGGTTACGGAGGTTACGACGCGTTTCGAGCGGCGGAGGGAGAGGCGGAGAGCGGGTTGAGAAACTCGCGGGTGGACTCGAGCGAGTTGACTCAGAGTTTCGGGTACAGCTCGAGTGGGTTGAGTAGTGGTGGGTTCGGATTTTCGGGTCAGACATTCGGGTTTAGGTAATAAGAGAGAGCACGTGAGGGGGTAGGGTGGTAATTAATGTAAATAAAATAGGGATTTATATGGGCCTTTACCGATTCGGTTAGGCTAAGAGCATCTCCATTGGAGATTCTTAGGGGGAGTTCACCCCTTTCCAAAAAAAAAAAAAAAAAAATAAGATTGTTTTGGTGAACCTCACTCTCAAAAGTTCATGGTGGTGAACCTGGTTCACATAGGGTTCGCCACGTGGCGGCCCCCCATTCGTCCGATTTTTTTTTTTTTTTTTGGTGAACCTCCCATGGGGTTCACCAATGGAGATGCTCTAAGGATTCCAGAAAGGAAAATGGGCTTGATTAGTTTTGATTGGGCGGGAAATTTAATAATAATGTTCCACGATACCTTGATGGATTCTTTGAATTCTTGAAAATAAAATGGTTGTTTGAGACTATTTACATGTTATGAAAATCGGAATTGGTGTTACTTTAGTAAAGACTTAATGACCAGAAACAGAGTCGTTGAAGGTCTTAGTTTATTCATAGTGGAGATGATCTCTTAAATAGATCTCAGTGCCTGACAACAATAGGCATAACTAATGCCGAAATAAATTCAACAAATCAACTTAATCAACTCCTAAAATATAGGAGGACTTATTCAAACAAAGACTCAAACAAAGACTCAGCTAAAAACTCGTTAACTTATTCTTCAATTCCTTCCCTAAACTGGAATGGGTTTCTTCCAGTTTAAGTTATGTTCACGTAGACTTCAAACTCATGCTTCCTTCACACAGACTCCCAGTCGCCTCCTTAGAACTTCAAACACATCCAACTTCACAGCTTTTGTCATGATGTCAGAAAGCTGTTCTTGCGTAGGACAATAGTCAAGTTGAATTACTCCTTCATTAACCAAGTCTCTCAAGAAGTGGAATCTCACATGAATATGTTTACTTCTACCATGCAGTACTGGATTCTTCGAAAGCTTTATTGTTGAACTATTGTCACAGTACAAGATTGTACCTTCATTCTGCTCTGCACTGATCTCTGTCAACACGTTTCTCAGCCAGACGGCTTGACAAGCTCCATATAAGGCTGCTACAAACTCAGCTTCAGTGGTAGATAAGGTCACTATGGGTTGTTTCTTAGACGCCCATGAAGCAGCTCCTCCACTCAGCAGGAAGACATAGCCCGACGTACTCTTCCTATCATCAATGTCCCCTGCATAGTCGCTATCTGCATATCCTAACAGCTTCTCTCCTCCTTCTGCATTGTACTGAATACCAAGATCAATGGTTCCTTGAACATACCTCATAATTCTTTTTGCTGCTAGCATGTGTTGTTCCGTAGGATGCTCCATATACCTACTAACCAGATTAACCGAGTAGATGAGGTCTGGTCTGGTGACAGTTAGGTATCTCAAGCTTCCAACCAATTGTTTAAAAACTGTTGCGTCAACTTCATCTCCAGCACCCTCCTTAGTTAGCTTGTGTCCAGGTACCACGGGGTTCCTGACAGAGTTACAATCCTCCATTCCAAATCTCCTTAGTATCTCAGTAGCGTATTTGGATTGATTGATAAAAATTCCTCTCTCATCTTGAGTTACCTCTACACCAAGAAAGAATCTCATACCTCCAAGATCTGTCATGGCGAACTCTTTCATCATAGAGAGTTTAAATTTCTCAAGTAGTTGTTTTGAGTTTCCCGTGTACACAAGATCATCAACGTAGAGGCTTAAGATCAGAATGTTCTTCCCTTCTTTCTTCACAAACAGTGTATGCTTGCAGTAGCATTTTTCGAATCCTTCTCTTAGAAAATATCCTTCAATTTTGTTGTACCAGGCTCTAGGGGCTTGTCTTAAGCCATATAAGGCTTTCTTCAGTTTGTAGACCCTCTGAGAAGTGTCTCATTCCTCAAACCCTTCAGGTTGTTCACAAATACATCCTCAGCCAACTCACCGTGTAGAAATGCACTTTTAACATCTAACTGCAGTACTTTCCAGCCTCTGTTTGCTGCAAGCGCAAGAATAGTTATGACTGTGTCCCATCTTGCTACAGGAGCAAAAACCTCATGGAAATCGACACCATAACGTTGATGATACCCTTTTGCGACTAATCTTGCTTTGAACTTATCCACTTCTCCCTTTTCATTGAATTTTGTTTTGAAGATCCACTTCACACCTATGACTTTGGCTCCTGATGGAAGTGTTGTAAGCTCCCATGTATCATTGTCTTCAATCGACTGCATCTCAGCTTCCATGGCTTTCCTCCATTTTTCCTCTTTAGCCGCTTCTACAAAAGTTTCTGGATCGTCTCCTTCTGTGAACAGAGATGCAAGCTCTTCACCATCTTCTTCCATGAAAAACCCAGCAGCTTGATCTGAGACATAATCCTTTCATCCATACTGGTGCCTTTCTCGTTCTTGCAGTTTGTGTCCGGGAAGACTCTTCAAAACTTCCTTCCCTATTCCCGGTACAAAATTCTTCTTGTGGGTTTGTCTCTGGTCCAACTGCTCTTGTTTCAGTACTTCCTTGAGTTTCCTTCTCAACATCCTCATCATCAGATTCTTGTAATAACTCTTCCCAGAATGAACCATTTTCTTCTTTCTGAGCTTCCCAATCCCATCCTTTAGTTTCATCAAACCTGACATCTTTACTGATTATAATCTTCTCAGTCTCGGGATTATGCAGTCGGTAGGCTTTTCACTCTTTGCTCACCCCCATCATCACACACTTCACACTCTTTTCATCTAACTTGATTCTTCTTTCATATGGAACCAGTGCAAATGCCACACATCCAAAGGTTCTGAGATGAGCAATTGATGGTTTATGATCACTCCACTTTTCTTCTGGCGTAGTGTCTCCAAGTGCAGTAGATGGACTTCTGTTTAAGATGTGGACAGCATACTGAGCATCCTCTGGCCAGAATCTTCTAGGAACACACATTCCAAGTAGCATGCATCTTGTCATGTTCATGATGGTTCTATTCTTGCGCTCTGCGGTTCCATTTTGTTGCGGTGTGTAGGCTGCTGTGAGTTGTCTTTTTATACCATTTTCCTTACAGTAATCTTGGAACTCCATTGAGTTGTACTCACCACCACGATCTGACCTCAAGCATACCAATGGTAACCCCAGTTCTCTTTCTACGGCTGCTTTGAAGTTCTTGAAGGTTTGGAAGGCTTCTGATTTCTCTGAAAGAAAGTAAGTCCAGCATTTGCGACTGTAATCATCTATAAAGTTGATGATATACTTTTTCTTGCTGCTTGAGATGGGTGTGATAGGACCACAAATGTCAGTATGGACAAGCTGAAGTCCCTTACTGGCCTTCCAGTTGCTTTTCTTCGGAATGCTCTCCTTTATTTGCTTCCCCTTCATGCAGACTTCACAGAATTTCTCTTCTCCATCTCGATCCAGGTTTGGTAAGCCATTTACCATTCTCTTTTCTCCCAAGATTTGAATCGATTTGTTGCTTAAGTGACCAAGTCTTTTGTGCCATAGATCCTCCTCTTCAGTTACTTGCAGACACTTGTCTTCATTGGTTTGAACCGGTTCCTTCACTTCAGCTAGAACGGCAAACATTCTATTTTTGCTCATCCTTGTCTCCATGATCATTCTTCTTTGCGCCTTGTGCCACACCTCACACACTCCATTATCAATGATTATTTTCAACCCTTTCTCTTGTAGTTGACCAACACTGATGAGATTATTCTTCAAGCCAGGAACATAGTATACTGAAGTGATCTTCTGAACCGAGTCATTGATCTTCAGGCGTATGCTTCCTCTTCCTTCTACCATCATCCTACGATTGTCTCCAAGCTTGACATTTTGACTGAATTTGCTGTCAAATTCAAAGAACCATTCTCTGGTTCCACACATGTGGTTGCTGCAGCCAGAATCTAAGAACCACACATGTTCTTCTTTGCTCTTAATTGGGTCGATATGAGCCATGAGCAATATGTCTTCCTCCAGCTCTGCATAGTTTGCGTTTCTCTCCCAGGTTGGGCATTCATATTTGAAGTGCCCCATCTTGTGACACTTGTAACACTCTACCGCATCTTTGTTGAAATTTGAACTTCATGAACCTCTCCCTTGATATCTTCCTCTTCCTCTGGACTGACTACTTCCTCTGCCTCTTCCTCCATCATTTCTCCATCGACTCTCTATCTTCAAGGCATGTTCTTCATTAACATGTCTGATAAGTTTCTGTTCATGTACCATTAAAGAGCTCTGAAGTCCATCCACTGAGAGATCTTTGATGTCGTTTGACTCCTCTATGGCACACACTACATAAGTGAATTTCTCCACCAGTGTTCTCAATATCTTCTCCACCACCTTGGAGTCAGTCATCTCTTCACCCAAGTTCCTCATATCGTTCACCACCAACATAACCCTTGAGAAGTACTCGGAAATGGTTTCAGCTTCTTTCATTTCGAGCACTTCAAAATCTCTTCTCATACGCTGCAGCTGTGCACTTTGTACCCTCTGATTCCCTTGGTACTTCTTCTTCATGGACTCCCACAGATCCTTAGACGTCTCCTTGTTCATGATTGTCTTGAGGATACTCTTATCTATTGATGCAAATAGATAGTTTTTCACTTTGAGATCTTTCAGCGTCAGTTCAGCAAGCTCTGATCTCTGAGCTCCAGTTAGGATCACACTTCTATCTGGCCTTGTGATGCATGTTTCAATTAAACTCCACCATTCCTTCGACTTGAGTAGATTCTCCATCAGCATGGCCCAATACTCATAGTCACCATCAAACTTTGGAATGCTTAGCAATGAATCTCTCTCATTCATTTTCTTTCTGGTACCAGGTTTCGAGACAAGCTCTGATACCACTGTTACTTTAGTAAAGACTTAATGACCAGAAACAGAGTCGTTGAAGGTCTTAGTTTATTCATAGTGGAGATGATCTCTTAAATAGATCTCAGTGCCTTACAACAATAGGCATAACTAATGCCGAAACAAACTCAACAAATCAACTTAATCAACTCCTAAAATATAGGAGGACTTATTCAAACAAAGACTCAGCTAAAGACTCGTTAACTTATTCTTCAATTGGTCGATTATATATAGGCTTGGTAAGTTTTTGGATCCAATTTCACTGCAGATAATGGATTTAAATGATTAGTTCTTAGTAATCTCGAAATCATTATTTGAACTTTCAAAATATATTCCTGCTCAATGTGCTCATGCAAATGGTTGCGGATATATCCACATATGCATTCAACGTTCTCAAGTTGTATATTTTGATGAATTAATAATAATTTTATTTTAAAATTAAATTGTAAAATACGTGAAACTTCCAAAAGTAAATGAAACCTGTTTTAAAATTTAACCACGCTTGTGTTCAAGTGTTAAGGCGGAAAGGTGCTACTACCTTGGGTTTGGGTTTGAAACATTACAATCTCAGATATACTCTTTTGTTACAATGCATTTTTAAACAGTACTTTTGGTATATAATGTTCGTTCAGCTCTGTAGTCTAACATTCGTTCTGCTTTGTACGCGGTCTTCCTTCCGAACCTCAATGTTATAAAACGTTTTCTACATATTAATTGGTCAAAAAAAAAAAAATTGGTCAAACGGAACAAAGAAGAGCAGACTAGTAAGAGACCAATGGGATTAAAATGCTTCCGCACTAGGGTTGATTTGTACAACTCAAATAATGAATAAACTTTCATATAACAGGAGTTTGTGACATCAATATGTTTATAATTTTCAAATGTTCCATCACGGTTTCATCAATAACAATTTGATCGACGTAACAACAAAAGAGTTGATCGGGTAATTGTGGTCGAGTGGTAAGGAGGAGGAGTTGGGACGTTAACACGTTTTAGGTTCGACCCACCTGCTATGAAAACTAAGTCACAATTATTCCTAATCACCTAACACAGATATAGACTCATGCTTTTGAGCTCATTTTAATACTTGGAGAGAGGGTCTATCCGTGGGCATCACCTCCCTTTGGAGATTAGTCTAGGCTTCTCTATGAGTATAGGATACCCCCAAATTAATCAAAAAAAAAACAACAACAAAAGAGTTACATTTTTTTTTGGCTCTCGATTAGCTTATTACACAAAGGAACAAAATAACCACATCATAAAGTATTATATATCACACAAAATAAAACAACATATATAGTACTTATTTTTTACTATTATTTTCTTCATTGTCTTTGCGAATTAAGTTTGGATGGTAACTACTTGCGGCAGACGCTTCCATAACCCGAAGACGCCCCGTGGCTGCAATTTACCAATGCGTATTTGCTTTTCAGTTTTCACCTTGACAGAGCCACTATCAACGCCCACTTCTTCAGAAAATAAACAAGTCTTGCAATCATGAGAGAGCAGAGAAGATGTCCTGAAGCTATCCTCACCTCCCACCACTGGCATTGCGACTCCTGGCTTAGCCGGATTCTTGAAATCGGGTCTGTATGTGCGTCCCAAGATTCCATCAACTTTCGGGGACAGGTTTATGAACTTGAACTGTACCTCAAAATGGGCAAAACAGTCATCTTTAGGTAATTTTTAGTTGTGGATTCTATCGTCTTCTTTGGTCACTGGAACCACGTTGACCATGATCTCAGCTTTGTCTTTGATCGTCACCACCACACTGTTCTTTTCTGTAAGTCTCTCAATCTTGATCTCTTTGTCCGATGAGTACCTGAGAACATGCATGTGTTTCAAGAGTTATATAAGATTAATTGTTTGTAAGTGCTTTGTTTAAACGATCATATTATGATATAAAGTTAGAAGTACAAATATTTTTAAACAAATTTTTTGTCAATTGTCATTATCCGAATGAAAATATTTTTTTGGTTTAACACGTATTACGTTTTGAAAATGTAATTATGAAGAATCTTTTGTAAACCTAGACGTAAAATGTTAACCTAAAAGGATGAATTAGACAAAAAAAAAAACAATATATATATAGGGTGAAAATTGAGTGTTTATAATTACCAGCTGAATAAATTTTTTCCAGGGATAACCAAATCTTGTCCATCAATAGTGAACTTGAGATGGTCGACTTCACTGTCCCAAGTGGCGACTTTGGTGGTCTCAAGTGCGAACTTGTGGGTGTTGAAGAGGATCCCGAGAGCTTGGATCCATGTGAAATCTCTGGTGCGACCAATGGGTCTATGTCCGGTGAACCTAGCATTGATCTGAACATCAGGATCCGATACGAGGCTAAAGTGTTCATTGCTCTTTCCATGGAAGTTGAACACAATACCACCACCACCAAAAAACCTCGGGTACCGCTCCATAGGATTTGCAGTTCGGCTTAATCCCTACTGAAAAAAATCATATTTAAATTATGTAAACATCTTTAAAATTTAAAATCTACGGACTAGTCTACTTAATTACTAGAATTTTGAAGTGGTGGTGATTAATTACCGCGATACACGGCCATGCAAAGAGAATTAAAGTAGTCAACCCAACATAGTTTTTTCTGAGAGTAAGAATCAAAGTCGGTCGGGCACTCCTCACGACACTCGATGGTTTGAAGCTGGCATCGAGGATGTGCATTGCCACCACAGTAAGTCCGACCAGTCAAAGCCTTGACCTGCAATAAACAAGAAGCTACCGAGATAATTGTTACTAACAATGAGGTTCTTGAGACCTCCATTGTGGAACCTTTAAGGATAGAGATTAGGATGGTGTGTTGTGTTGGGGATTGTGAATTTAAGAGGATTAAAAGTCAAAAATTTCTCCAGAAGATGGCTAACTCTCTTCTTGTAGTTATTATTAAGTAAGGTTTGTAAATTGCTCAAATAATGTGTACACTCTATACATGAACGTATATGACGGCTGAATACATGTATTCATCAACCACTAGTTGTCCAAATATAGTATGACCTAGTAGACTTAATATAATGCCACTTAACGAAATAACAAATCCAATCACATTTTTAATTGATCAGAACCCACATCGATCTAGAACAAACAATGTTATTATGTTAGCCAAAGACTCAAGAGTAGATATGTATGCGACTTTTAGAAATTTAAAGTGAACAGTAATCCACTATTGCACTCAATCTTAAGAGATGTATAAAATTTCAATCGGATATCTCACTCAATCACATCAAACTATAATGCAACTTGAGCTTTAGCCCTTAACTAATTGGGTCGACCATCTATTTCCCCAGGATAAGTATTGTATAGTACCAAATGTCTAGGAACTACCCCGTTTTATTTATCCCCGAGAATAAAGTTCAAAATCTATTTTCCCACCAAACTAAAGTTGTCTCGATATTTCCTCATAGTTATAAAGATCGAATCTAAATGCCCACAATATCGATTTTTATTGGTTTATTGTTTGTAAACAAATCGTAAACCATGTCAAGCCAATGACTAACCAGATTAAGATCCAATTAGTCGAATCTTTTTAAGTTTGAATGTTGGGTCGGATTACTGTTCTGATCCAAATTAAGGTTTGGTCGGGTTTTTCATTTTTTCATGGTTTAGTTTTGCTTGGTTTATTATATGAGAGTGGAGATTTGAAATTCGGTTTTCAAATATCATAACTAAACCAAATTTGTTGGGGAAATAGATTTCGAACTTTATTCTCGGGGGTAATTATAACATAGTTATAGTTCCGTGGACATTTGATGCTATACGATACTTCTCGTGGGAAAATAGATCGTCGACCCTAACTAATTCGGTCCAAACTTTTCTGATTAACCACATCTCTCTCTAAATTCAAACCCCTGTTTTCTCCAAAGTCAAACTATTGTTTTCGTTAAATACCTAAAACGTTGTGTTTCAAGCAGTAACCACGTATCTCTCTAAAGTCAAACTCGGTCAACTCTGCGTTTCAATCAAGTAAAATCCATGTTCTAAAACGTGGAACCTAGGGCCGTGTGCGTGGCGGGCTGGAGCCGCCGGGATTTAACTTTAATCGGCCAAAAAATCGGGTGCTGTGGAAAAACTTCATTTTACTTCACTTAAACTCTAGAAAAAAAAATCCTCCATAGTTTTATCATAAGCTAGTATAGATCTAGCAAAAGAATAAAAAATCACTATAAAAACAACAAAATAAAAAGTAGCCGCCATGGGGTTGAAGATCGTGCACAGAGGAAGGAAGAAGATGAAAGGGAAATCTCTTTTTTATCCTTCACTAAAGCTAAATTTCGAAAATGACCAAAAATACAGAATGGGGATCCAAACCTAGCCCTACTTTTAGTCTCAACCCACGCTGACCACTGGACAAGTTTAGCTTTTTGGATATTCTTTTAAGTTATTTAATATATAACCAAATAAATTAAATAAAAGTTCAGAAATTATGCCCCGCCAGTGGAGAGCACATTCGAATTCAAGAGAGAGAGAAAGGTAGTGAGAGAAAGTAGATCTGGTTCCGGCGTATGGCCGCAACCCTTATCCTTCTAAATGAAAAAGTGTTTTTTGGTTCTCCTTCATCTCCTATTACCTATCGCTTTGTTTGAGCTCTGGCTTTGGTCCAGCTCCATTTTCGTGGTGGCTCGGCGCATAGAGTAAAGACACGGTCGGAGGAGGGTTTCGGCGGTGGAAATTCAATTTCTCGGAGCAAGGTTCGATTCCGGGAGGGAGAGACTTCCTTAGCTCCGTCGCCGCCGGTTTTGTCTCTGGGAAGAGGAGGCTTACACAACTCCTTCGTCGCCAACTATTGCTTTCGGAGGGTGGAGGTTTTCATAGCTCTGCGTTGCCGGCTTGGAACCCAGAGTATGTTTGGGGTTTTTAGTTTATGTTTTGATTCATGGATAGTTTGGTTGTATTGCTTGCTTGCACTGTGTTGGTTGGGTATATCGGATGAGATCTCAGAGAATGATGAAGCTCTCCGATAATGATGATGATGAGGGTAAGAGAAGAAATGAAGAGTTTGGAGTTTCGGGAGTGATTCCCGAATGGGTGATTTGGTAGTCCGGATGAGATCTCGGTTATTCCGATTGATGCTCTCCGTGGAATGCTCTCCGATGGTAGAGATAGTTGCAGCGCCTATACCCGAAGCGGCGCCGTTAAGTTTCCGGCGAATCCGTACGATGGAGGCATAGAAATAGTGAGATGACAAGAGGCTAGGGTTTTAGTCCAATTTGGCGAGCTTTAGATTGGGCTTGAATCTCAGTTTGTAATTTGCTTCAGTTTATTTTGCGTTGGGTTTTTGAACTTTGTATGATTTCGGGCCTTGGTCCCTTTTAATTAATTTTGAGAAGATTTGTTTGTTAGGCGCTAGATCCAATTCGACTGCCCGATTAGCGCCTGATGTTTTTTTGAACACAGAGTAAAATTATGAGGTTAAAAAAGTCAAACTCCGGATAAAAACGCCACATTTCAAGCAAGTAAAATAAAGAGAGAATAAAAGTTTTGCGGTGAGCGTGGATCGAACACGCAACCTTCAGATCTTCAGTCTGACGCTCTCCCAACTGAGCTATCCCCGCGTTTTGTTAAACATTGTTTGTACAAGGTTTTAACTTAAACTAACTGGCTCATCAAGAAGTTGTTCTTGTTGGTTGCTTGAGCGTTGGTGTTCGGCGCAAAGCAAAACCAATTCAGATGACGACTGCTTCGACTCCGCAGCTCACCCTTTGTACCTTCTCAATACCCAATGGTTTCAACAACGAACCCAGAAACAGACCACACGCCAAAGTCCGTAGCTTTGGTCCTTCTCTGCTCACAAACAAGCTGGAATTGAGAGCTTGCTTGATTAAAGAGCTTCGTCAGCAGAGACGGCCATTTATGGGTCTGAAAGAAACTCAATTTCCAGCAAGTGAGAAAGCTCGGAACCATAAAAGACGAGTCTTTAAGGTCAGCTGTAATAAAGGTTTAGGCTTTAACGGTGGAGACAGCAACGGGAACGGGAGAATCCTCGGGAACTTGGCTTTGGCTATTGGTTTGACTTATCTCTCTATGACTGGTCAGCTTGGTTGGCTTTTGGATGCTATTGTATCTGTCTGGGTAATTAACTCTCTTTCCATCTCTCTCTATGTGGTTATATCTATTTGTAGTGGTATGGTTTTGTTGATGTACTTACAATTTTTGTCTGAAGCTTGTTGTGGTTATTGTTCCGATTTTGGGGTTGGGAGCTTTTCTTTGGTGGGCTCAACGAGATATTGTCCAGAGCAGTGTATGTCCTTCTTGTCTCTTTGTCTTAAGATGGCATTTCCAAGTGTTTGCAGAAATATTATGTAATCTCTATGTGATTATTAACTCTAATATGCTTTTATGTTGTGTAGTGTCCGAATTGTGGAAATGAATTTCAGATATTCAAGTAAGGATGTCTTGTCACAAGAATCAATCCCTTTGTTGCTCCAAAATTTACTGACTGAATATCGAAATCTCTCTGCAGGTCATCGTTGGACGATGAGGTACAGCTTTGCCCTTTCTGCACTCAGCCATTCTCAGGTAGAAAAGATAAATCTTTTACTTTTAAGATTTATCAAAAGACATGTCTGTTTCAAGCATTTTACTTGGGGAAATGCAGTTGAGGATGATAAGTTTGTTAAGGAACCAGTGAAATTTTCGAACCAAACTACTGCTTTTGGACAAGACCTAAATGGGTTTTCTTCTCCACCTAAGAAAGGTTCTTTTTTTCTTACTTACCCAAATGCATATTTTACTTTTTGAAAATGTGTAACTGAGAAGCCTTAGTACATTGTTTCAAAAAAAAAAAAAAAAGAAGAGAAGCCTGAGTACAGTCTTGTGGGTCCAATGATGAGAAGAGTTCTATTGATTTTTTTTGCAGGAAAAGGTTTCTCAACAGCGGTGGTGGACATAGAAGCTGAAGTAACAGATGCAGACTGAAAATGAGCCCAACGAACTGTAGACCGAGCAAAAGATATCGTAGAGACAAAAACAACAAACTTGTGCAAAGAGCTCGTTGTTGGATATAGAAGTAATATAGAATCACACATCCATATGTATATATATACATGTCTTTGACATTGTTATTACATTTTGATCTTATGTTGTTTGAATGATTGTTTGTAGTAGTAGTTCCCATCTACGACTGTTATAGGTTCTTACCAAGCTCAAGACAATTCCGGTCTTGTATTGGGCCTCTTAAAGGCTCATTTAAGGCTCGTTACGTATGAATCAGAATGGGTCAGTAATTTTGAGTATTACTATTTCATCAACAAGGTCAAATCCATTGACTGATTGCTTCTTTTGTAGTTTATCTTATGATATTAAATAAAATTACAGGTTTTGGCACTTGGGTTAGTAATAATGCTAAGCGAAAAGGGTCAAAAAAGTCACCCAAGAGTTCATGAATCTACAAAAAAATGCCGCTGAATCTCTAAGTTTGTATATGTTTTTACTGAAAACTGATTTATATAACAACTGATTAATGTCTAATCCGAATAATATATGGAGTACATTTGCAAATATAAAAAAGAAAACAATTCGTACTTTCAGCCTGCAATAGTTACAGTGTCTTGTTGAAGAATAAGACAAGAAATAAGTGAAAGGGACAATAGCTATTGTTATCATTATTTAATACTAGTAGTCCGGCCGCGCTGCGCGCGGATTGTCGGATATTTGTATTATTTAAAATTTTTAAATTATTTCTTGGTTTATAATATATTATTTTTTTATTGTGTTTTGTTTATGAGAATGGTCCATTATGATATCAATGTGATGGCATTAGGGTTAGATGGTGGACATTTGGAAATTATTTTAAAATTCTTGAGTCATAGATGTTATTTTTTTGTTTCACAAATTTTATTTTTTCAGGATCAGAGATAATAGCTATGAGAATATTTTCCATAAAAATTTATTTGAAAACAAAGTCTAACAATTTGTTCTAAAAGCAAAATTAAACAAAGCCTTTGGAAGAAATTGAAGAGGAACATAAATGTTCAACTTACACTGAGAAACGAAACAAATAAATTAAAAGCGGAAGGAGTACGTCATTGTTTTAACGGTAAGCACGTTTTCCGTATAGACCTTCTTTTAGTTAAGGTGATCACTGAAACCCATTATCCTTTTGTAGAACCCGGTTACCGAAAAGAAGTGGAAACAGTTGGAGCAAATCGCGATCTCCGTCCCCTGTTGAGGATGGCAGTTCTAGGGTGGCCACATCTTTTTTAGTGAGGTAAGAAAGATATCCTTCATGTGAAATTGGGGGTTCTCAAGAGATTGATGAAATTTGGGAATGGATTCAAGGGTGAGGGTATTATGTTGTTTTTAATTCATGGAACTCAACGGAAAATGATCGAGATTTTTTTTTTATTCTAACGCTGTCCTTCTTAGTTTATTTGTGTTGTGCACTTGTTTATATAGGACGTTGGACACAGTTTTGATTGTAACGTCGTTTACTTTTTTAAATATCTATTATCATTATCTGAAATATCTAAATAGATGTGTCTGTAACGTGGCATTGAACGCAAAAAAAAAAACTTCAAATTGCCTTTTAATTTTGGTATTATAGGTGATTTATGTCATTTATTTTGCTGTGTTTCCGTTTTAACAAAAAAAACTTAAAAACAATTTGGGCCTACCACACAAAATAGCCAGCCCAACAACCATAAAACCGACAAATAGAAAACCAATTGAAACCGAAACGGGAGAGATAAATTTTGTTCGGTCTATTTGGTTTAGGTTATTGCTGACATGGCTTTTTTTGCCCCCCTCACAAATGCTGATGTGGATGCATGAGAAGGGAGAAAAACCTACTTTATTGTATAAGATACTTTTTTAAATATCTATTATCATTATCTGAAATATCTAAATAGATGTGTCTGTAACGTGGCATTGAACGCAAAAAAAAAACTTCAAATTGCCTTTTAATTTTGGTATTATAGGTGATTTATGTCATTTATTTTGCTGTGTTTCCGTTTTAACAAAAAAAAACTTAAAAACAATTTGGGCCTACCACACAAAATAGCCAGCCCAACAACCATAAAACCGACAAATAGAAAACCAATTGAAACCGAAACGGAAGAGATAAATTTTGTTCGGTCTATTTGGTTTAGGTTATTGCTGACATGACTTTTTTTGCCCCCCTCACAAATGTTGATGTGGATGCATGAGAAGGGAGAAAAACCTACTTTATTGTATAAGATTTTGAACAAAAGAAATCTTACTCACCACACAAATTGACAGAACCTATTTAAAGCTTTCTACTCTTGGATACAGAATATCTGGGGCTCAGATTTGTCTCTGCCTATTAGACGGTTTAGATTGTCAACATTGTTTCTGATCCTGTCCCTTCATTCCAAAGTTTTAACAAGTTTTAACTTAATTGTAAGATCTTTGTATACTTGTATGTTTAAGTTTAATCAAGTTTAGTAATTAGTTGTTTATTATACCAATTTAACCCATCGGTTTGGTACATTTTTCATGTCCGGTTTTGAGGTTTACAAATGTAAATGTGGTGAGTAGATTGATATATGAAGAAGCTAGATACTGCAAGGGAGAAAATGTAACTTAATTAACCCATTCTTCAAAAATGCAATTTAGTTGAATAAGGTCTGCAACAAACTGTACTAATAGGGGAAAGGAGAGAATCCCAGATGGAGATTCAGATCTAAAGTAATGATAATGTAAATCTGGAAATTAAATTCTTAGAAAAGAGGAAATGAAAAAGATGAGAGAGAGAGATGTGGTCCAAAAGGAGGTTTAAGGAAGGGTTTGAAAGCTTGTATGAAAATAGATAGATAAGGAAGACCATTGTATAAAGCCAAAACTAACAGTTGCTCTGTTTTCAATCACAATTTCTTTTCTTTTTTTCTTAATTCTCACTGCCCCAACTCATTTATTCACCCACTCTGCCTCCTTTTGTAATCTCATCACTACATATGCATATTTGTCATCATTGTCTACGTGAAGGCACAATTAGAGATCTCTCTGTAAGAAACAAAAGTATATACTATATCTCTTATTACATATCTCGTTGAATATCTTTCACAAATACAGTAGTGATGTAACTAGGTTTTACAATTCTGGCAAGGTTTGTAGGTTTTTTCTATTCGAAATCATCATTATGTACTTTGCAAAAAAAAAAAAAAAAACTGTTCATAATATAGATAACGGTTCTTTTAAAACGGCAGCAACATAATTTATATGAATTGCAACATAAACTCATAGAAATCATTTCATCTCATTTCGTTATCATTAACCAAAGAAAAGTATATACCGTATATAGTTTGTTATCTTGGTTTTATATTAGATATGAGCATTAAAAATTGTTTGAAAAGATCAATTGGTAAAGAAGAAAGAAGAGAGCAAGGATCCAATCATTCTTAGATTGGACATAATATGCTTCACCGATCCCAAGAATCTTTCTATGCCTGCCTAAATCCAGCAATATAAACCCTAAAACTGGTCCCCGCTTTTACACGTGTCAATTGGACAACACTCCATAACTTAACATGAAAGCACATGTGGGGTCCTCCGTTCGTCCTTTCCCCTAAACACCTTCACACAGTCACTTGTCCTAGCCCACAATACAATCTAAGCAGAATCTATAGTAATCTTTTAAGAAAATCTCAGTCAAGAGCATCATTATCGGTTAGGTCTCTCAAACCCAATTTCTCGGTTAGTTATATTAGAGCACCCTCAACGCAAGCATTTGAAGAGTTGCTAAACCATGGAGCCCACCAAAACAGAAGAAGACGCGGAGCCAAAATGGCCAGATTAAGTGCTGGAGCTCGCACTATTTTGTGGGATCCACTGACACGTGGCGGCCCGTGATTGATTGCTTTTTTAATTGTGTTTTTTTTTAGCCAGATAAAAATATTTTTTTTAAAAAATAAGCACCCCACCTAACACTCATGCATTGATCATGTTCTTAATATCTTTGCACAGTTTTATTTTATAATTAAATTTTATTTTTTAAAAAGGTTTTGTACCACTAATCAGATGACAAGTGGAGAACACGTACACCTCCTCAGCAAAAAAAAAACTACCGCTGCACTTGCTATTTGTATCCAAATAACCAAAATAATGCTAACATATTTCATTTTATTCTTATTTCTTTTTGCCTCTCAGTTTTTCGTTAAATTTGTGATCACGTAATCTTCTTATAAAATAAATTAAAGTTACATTAAACAGTCAATCATTTTTCTAACTCAATGATCAGCTGACACACTATGTTAGTTAAGCTAAACCGCAATAGATAACCCCTGTCTCTCTAGATTATTATATTGATATTTTAGGGTAACTTGTTTATTATCTCGCCTTTCGTTCCAGGCTTGGTAGATATGTTGGGTTGGTCACGCGGTTTGGATAATTTTCCAAGTGGTAATAATACATACTTTACTTTTCATGGTATCTAATAATAGGCTAACGGTAACAAAATCATTCTTAGTGAAAATTGTTTATATGATACTTTTGAAAATAATATGAGAAATGGATGGTTTTCTCCTTAAAAAAATTAGGAAGGTATTTGTAAGAACACAATGTGATTTATATTTACTTCACAAATCACTATGGTTTGCTTAAGATCAGTGTAAAAATAGCCAATAAACAAAATAGTTTAAGATAATTAAAACATTCTAATTCTAGGTGTTGGGCTGATGGAAAAATTAACATGGATGCAGCTTTAAAATGTTTCCGTATATGATGCAGCCATCATTTCTACTCTGATCTTTAGAGCATGTACATCAATGAATCTATGGAAAGGAGTTTATAGAAAAAAAAATTCGTTTGACTTAAAAAATATATATATATTTATATTTTTTTATATATATAAACGAACCAATCGTGGATAGCCGCATGACGTGGAGCCTACAAAATAGTAGTGATACAGATTCACCGCAAAATTTCTGCGATTTGGATTCATAACTTTTGTAATAATTAATATATATATTTTTTGAAAGTGATCATCAATCTTTGATGGAATTGCTCTTAGCCCAACACTTCTCGTAATTCACGACGCTTGTCAATTCCTTTTGCTTTACTGATCATCTTCTCATGTGAAACCAAATACGTATATCACAGTCAGATTTTCCTTTTTGGGTAAAAAAATCAAATTTTCAAAACACCTAAAAGCTAACTAAAATAAATAAAATAAGATCTCAAGTTAATGAGTAGACACATCGTTTGTATTTACACATTTTTAAATTGCCTCGGATAAAGAAATAATAAATACTACAAGACTGAAAGTGTCTGCTTAGACCTAATGGATATGATAACTAATTCTATGAATTGGTGAACATTTACGACATAAATTGAGATGTTTCAAAGATTACATGAAAATTTCGAAGATTTAAGTCACTCATATTTTTCAAAGTAAGAATAGTTGGGTGGACACTTTAGCAAAGGAAGTAATTAAGGATTAGAAGTTTTTTTTTCATATAGATTAGACTCGGACATACGAATATGCTCCTCGGAAAATCGGCTCGTCTACCACCATTTAATTTATAGATTAAATGGGTAGCCCAAAAAAAATATACATTTATACTCAACCGTTGATTTACTTGTAAGAATAATTACCATATATATATTCCCACTGAAAAAGGATTATATATAGAGAGAGAGAAAGAGTAAAGAGAACAAATATAACTGCGACTGTAACTAGACTTGCTTATTTCAGATGATATGAGCTGAGTAAAATCACGTTGCTTCAGACATTGCTTGCTATAATCGGCGAATGGTCTCACTTCCCTGTACACCTATCTTCTTCTCCGAGGGTTCTATGCTCTACGTGACCACGCACTGTTTTTATTGGACCGTGTGATGCACACATCACGACTGAGTCTTGCCCCAATCTCCGATATGCTGCCTGGACGGTACCAAATTTGAGATTCTCACAATATTACGTAAGAGCAAATATTACAGAAATAAATCGATGAGAGCTGGAACCTTTGGTTTTTATCTAACATTCTTCGCTCACACAATGCTGAAAAAGGATCCAAACTCCCTTTTTGTGGTTAAGCATTTCTATTCTGAAAATTGCCAAGCTTGATCATTAAATATATACATTTATATTTACCTTTATATTTATATTTCACAAATAAAGCATTTTCTTTGCGTATTGGTGGAGTGTGTATGTATTGCATACATAATTAGGATCCAACGGATAAAATTCTTACCTATTTGCTATCACTGTCTTCCTAGTCTCTCTCTCTCTCTCTCTCTCTCTCTCTCTCTCTCTCTCTCTCTCTCTCTCTCTCTCTCT